ACCCACCCTCTCAACTGGTTAGATGCAAGATTGGGCTTTCAAAACAAAAGGTATGGAAGACTGAGTCACAGTATAACTCTTTAACTAACAACAGTGGGATCGTTACGATCTACGTTTATCAGGATACAACTCGGCATAAAGTGATAATGCTATCAAAACCCATCGCTTGTACAGAAATATAATAGGGAATCAAGGTAAAAACCAACTTCGATATATCCACTTGTGATTGAGAATTTATCTGAAGCTTAAAACTACAAACAATTACAAATCACAAGTTCGCAGGTTGCTTCATCCTCAGCATATGCAAACTATCTGTTGAGTAGCAAGCTTCTTACCAGGTGAACATGACTAGATGAAATAACATTAAAAAGTTATTACACTGACAAACCTGGGGTATAACAGTCTGAATTTCTTCAGGAACTGCTTTGATGACACTCTCATATAACTTAGTATTTTGTTTTCCTCTTAGGAGATCCATCTTGTTTACAATAACAACCAAACCTCTCCCTTCTTCCACCGCACGCCTAGCTATAACTACTTCAGCATGCTTCATGCTCCGCCCAGCTTTTGCAATCTAACAATCATGACATGAAAGACAGCAAGGAAAAGCAGTAGTTATTGGAAAAAAATAATATCTCCACGATATTGATGTGGCTACTGCCAGCTCATGAAGCCTTGCGTAACAGTTAAAAGATCCATACGCTTAACTTCTGCCATAGGCCCCATAAAGTTTCTCCTGTTGCATTTTCAAATTACAATCTATCCATTCTTCCATTGCAGAAGCCAAAAGCAGGTTCAAAAATTATCATACCATTTGGAAAAACAAAATTTTATAGCAAATTGACATCTTTACACAAATTTATTTATAGGATAAGTTTGTCACGTGCACATTGAAATAAAATGCAAACAGATAATGCTGTATATGATGCACCTCTTCGGCATCAAGGACTAAAGCAACCACGTGAGCCCTCATAAGGTGTTTTCTTGATTGCACAATGCTCAAGGATGCTGGTCCTTTCTCCTGCTTTGTTCTTTGCAACCAGCCTGCTGTGTCAACCTGAACCAAGAGCACCATACCATGCCCATCAGTGCATTGACAAGGAACACCCATGAACTAGGGTAGGCCTAGTATAGTGAAGATGGGGAATGGAAGAGAAACTAAACATGAGAAGAGAAACTTCTCCCAGTTTTGAGAGTTTAGCTTCCTTTTGTAGCTTATTTTGGTTCCTCGTGGTGGCCTGGATGCTGTGCTGTGTAATGACTAATGAGAGGCAGGAAAGGGGTTTGGGAGTGGTGGTGGTCCTGATGGATATGTGGACATGGGTATTCATACATTTCATGAAGTCAGCTGAGTCATATCAATGTCTCGAACAATGAATCATATGAAGTGTTTATGTTTACCAATACAAGTAGCACAGTGACATCCTCAAGGAAACTACAAAACAGGAGAAACTAAAATTTACCAAATAAATGGTTCTCCCTTCATGTTGGAACTCAGCTCGAACTGAATCTCTAGTCAAACCAGCTTCTGGTCCCACCAAAACACGATCTTCTTGTAATAAGGCATTTAGCAAGGTAGACTTTCCAACATTGGGCCGTCCTACAATTGCCAACTGTACTGGTAACTTAGACTCTTCACCCTCACAGGAGCTATTTTCCTCATGACCTTCATCCATATATAGCAAAATGTAAAACATCTTTTTTCAATAGAAGGGTAGCAAAACAAAAAAAAAAAAAAAAGGATAATGCTGCACTAAAAGAATGGCTAGATCACAACAAAATCTCAAAACAATACAGTCAAACTAATCCTACAACCGATGGTTGCTGAATTTTGCACATCAGTAATCTTCATCATGGAAATTTGTTGCATACAATATAGGGAAATGCGATCCTACTTCACCTGTGAAGTAGGATATCATTCTGGCCAGTTTATTAGACAAATTGTTGGGTTATGGCAAAAAAAAACTACCTTTGTTCCCGTCTTCCTGTCAAGAATCCTACGACGAACCTTCTATCATCTTCATAGATATGATTGCTAAAATCACCATCTTATTTTGAAGGTGGGATTCTTGTGTTGCCATTGACCAATGAAAGAGCAAGTGACAAACAATAAGAGGCATGCATGCACCCGGACTAATTAAGGTCAAGCAACAGGTGATGATACTAATCATTGTCCAGGGCCAATAAAAATCAGTGGCTGACTATGAACATAAAATAGATGAAGACACGAGATTTCTGGCAGTCGAAGCTGGGTAGCATGACAATGAGATGATTACCAATTTGTCTTATTTATATTAAGTTGCTTCATTACTTTTTTGGAGCTCTAGTAGGCTAGTAAGCCAGCTGTCGTGAACTTTAGCTGGTTAATGCTTGATTAGAACCTACCCATAATATATGCTTCAAGCAACTTAGAGATGCTAGTGAAGAAATGTCAAATATGAACCAATCTTGCATCAGGCATTCAAAATGACAGGTTCTAGAATGAGGACAATGTGGGACTTGGGAGGCCACTATGGTTATTTTTCATTTTCTCTTGGCAGATGGTACCATGTTGCCATGACGCTGAAGGAGATCAATTGCATCACCCACATTGTAACATGTTAAAGCTCAATGCAACTCCAAGGCTGAAAGTAATCTAGTCAAAAGCAAGCTAATTCTGATTGAAGCGGGGAAGCTAAGAGCTGGTTTCAGAGAAAAAATCGTATTTTAAGGTAGATCGCTTGCAATTACATAGGTTTTATGTCATGATCTTTTTCTTCAAGTAAAGACGGCTAGTTCGAAAGTAAAGCAGCACTTATTTAAAGGAGAAATATTGACCAACACAGAGTAGTTATCTAGAAAGCTGTCTTCTTTAGTGTATATCACCATTCAAGCTTTGTGGCTTTGAAATTGAGACGCTTCAAAAGTATATTCTACGGATTCTGATGATGGTAAGAGGAATGGGCAGATGAAATTTGAGTTACTCAGTCAAGCCTTATTTGAGCACAGGTTGTGGCGTACAAAGCATAGAGGCAGTCTAAAGGAGGTGTTAGAAAGGATATATGGATCAGCTATCCTTCAAAACGTGAGGGGGCCACATGGAATTGGAATAAAGACAGGCATACAAAGGGGGTTAGGTGGCCTTTCCTAAACATATGACCCTTATATTGTGGAACGATCCGAGGGTTTGGCATGACAATTGGTGTGGGACAACTGCTTTGACCTAAGTGGTCAGGATTTACATCGGACTGTAGAAATAAGGAGGCTTTCTCCCCACAACTAAGCAAGGCACGAAGGGACATCCTATTGAGTTTATGTATGGATTCAATCAGCAGAAGTCCCTCCAACTCAAATCAATATCCATCATGTAACCACATAAGACAGCTATACCTTGCAAGCCAGAACTAGAGGATGCCTTTTCAGACGAAGTGTACAAACCAAATAACCAATAGCCCAAATTGGGAGATAGGCCACTTTGGGATAAAACTCTCTCAAAGAGAGGTAAATTTTAGTCTGGAACAGTTTATAATGAGCTGTTTGAATAAAAGGATGAAAGACGTGGGTTTCCATGGAAATGCATTTACATGCCAAAGTTAACTCCGAGTCTATGGTTTTTATTCATTATCAAAAGCTGAAAGAGACAAACATATAGATAGAGACATACACACCACAAGCAAAGAGAGAGAGAGAGAGAGAGAGAGAGAGTNTGTTGCCATGACGCTGAAGGAGATCAATTGCATCACCCACATTGTAACATGTTAAAGCTCAATGCAACTCCAAGGCTGAAAGTAATCTAGTCAAAAGCAAGCTAATTCTGATTGAAGCGGGGAAGCTAAGAGCTGGTTTCAGAGAAAAAATCGTATTTTAAGGTAGATCGCTTGCAATTACATAGGTTTTATGTCATGATCTTTTTCTTCAAGTAAAGACGGCTAGTTCGAAAGTAAAGCAGCACTTATTTAAAGGAGAAATATTGACCAACACAGAGTAGTTATCTAGAAAGCTGTCTTCTTTAGTGTATATCACCATTCAAGCTTTGTGGCTTTGAAATTGAGACGCTTCAAAAGTATATTCTACGGATTCTGATGATGGTAAGAGGAATGGGCAGATGAAATTTGAGTTACTCAGTCAAGCCTTATTTGAGCACAGGTTGTGGCGTACAAAGCATAGAGGCAGTCTAAAGGAGGTGTTAGAAAGGATATATGGATCAGCTATCCTTCAAAACGTGAGGGGGCCACATGGAATTGGAATAAAGACAGGCATACAAAGGGGGTTAGGTGGCCTTTCCTAAACATATGACCCTTATATTGTGGAACGATCCGAGGGTTTGGCATGACAATTGGTGTGGGACAACTGCTTTGACCTAAGTGGTCAGGATTTACATCGGACTGTAGAAATAAGGAGGCTTTCTCCCCACAACTAAGCAAGGCACGAAGGGACATCCTATTGAGTTTATGTATGGATTCAATCAGCAGAAGTCCCTCCAACTCAAATCAATATCCATCATGTAACCACATAAGACAGCTATACCTTGCAAGCCAGAACTAGAGGATGCCTTTTCAGACGAAGTGTACAAACCAAATAACCAATAGCCCAAATTGGGAGATAGGCCACTTTGGGATAAAACTCTCTCAAAGAGAGGTAAATTTTAGTCTGGAACAGTTTATAATGAGCTGTTTGAATAAAAGGATGAAAGACGTGGGTTTCCATGGAAATGCATTTACATGCCAAAGTTAACTCCGAGTCTATGGTTTTTATTCATTATCAAAAGCTGAAAGAGACAAACATATAGATAGAGACATACACACCACAAGCAAAGAGAGAGAGAGAGAGAGAGAGAGAGAGTGATCCACACTTCTGAAAGCAACAATATTTTTTTGCAACCTGAAGTCAATATAAGCTCGATAAATGGCGCAAATGGTGCTTATATGCATGAAACAAGACCATAGACTTTGAAGAACTGCTCAAGAGAATATTACGCAATTGCAATAAATAGAATCCACAGAATTCGTAAAGACAGGAAGAGAATCAATTTCTCACTATGATTGGGAAAAATCTTCGGGGAATAGGCTTTCTTACCAGTTCCAATGTGAAGCATGTAATCCTCAAGCAATGGCCGAAGAGCTTCATAAAGTTCTGTCATACCGAGCCCAGTCTCAGCAGACAGAGCAATAGGATCCCCAAATCCTAACATATAAGCTTCACCAGCAGCAGCATCAAGAGAACCAGCACCATCAACAAGAGATTCAGCTTTATTCATCACCAGAATAATCTTCATTCCAGGTGCACGTTTGCGCAACCACTTTCCAACATCCAAATCCATGGGCTGCAGTCCATCTCTAGTCACAGAGAAGACCAAGAAACAAATTAAATTCAGCAGTTGATTTAAAAATCAATATAAATTAGAAATGGGCATGATTACGAAAATTATACTAGCACACCAGTATACTATAGCCCTCATAAACTGTTACAACATTACTGAGAAACTCAAGGAGCCAACTTCTTGATCAAACATATGTGATCTATTTCTATAGCATTATTAATTCACACGGACAGAAATCCTTGGGCATCCTCAAAAATCCCATATCAGTGAGTAAGTGCAAATTTTTTTCTAAAAACATACCTGTCTCTTCGAATGCATCCAATATGATTAAGCTTCTTTTTTTAAGTCTAACACTCTTTTTCTATTCCATCTCAAGCTTGTTCAACTTAATTACCATACTTCAGCTCAGATCTCAAACTAAAATATGCTCTCTGCTGTAGGTTGTTCTTGAACATTGCATTGGCATATATCTGTACTGGACAAAATCAAATATAACTGCACAAAATCCACGTGGCATTCTTTATCTCATCAGTGAAACTAACCTCGCATCTATAAGGAAAAGCGCAACCTGACACCTTGCCAGCACATTTCCAGTCATTTCTGCAGTTCTGCCAAGAACAGAACCAGAAGAAGCCTCTGCCTCTAAACCAGCAGAATCTAACACCCTGAACCGCAATTCACTCAATTTGGCGATCCCTTCACGTATGTCCCGCGTAACATGGTCATTAGGAGTGTTATATACAAGTGCTTCCCTCCTTCGGATCAAACTACAACGCAACAAAACCAACTACAATACTTACATAACAACAATATGATACTCAACAGTCAACATTAATAATGGTAACTTAGAGTGGAACTAACCGATTAAACAATGCTGACTTGCCAACATTTGGGCGCCCTATAAGAACTACAGTTGGAAGCTTGTTTACATCAACTTTGCTAAACTCAACCAATTTTTCAGTCACATTCTTGACTTTTGGTACCTCGGTACCAATTATATCACCAAAACCAACATCAATTTCTTCCATCTGATCGCTTTCATCAACACACGGACCAGAAACATTCACCAATTCGTCTTCAGTTTCTTGGGTGGGCGACAATGTACAAAATCCATCTATGTTTTGAAGTATAAAGGTGTGCGAGGGTAAAACTAATTTGAAACAGTTCGAATTCAAATGTCTTTTCCCAATGCCATTTATAGCTAGACTGTCAAAAACTGATCCTAAGCAAACAACGATGTCATTAAATAAGCAATGAAGTCAAAAGTCTTTACAATAAGAATCCAAAATGACAAGGGTGTGTATGTGTAGAAACTTACCATGTTTCGTTCTAACATTCCTGGTACTTTGACTAGCATTTAAGAGGAGGTTTTCTGAGTCTTCATGTGATTTTGAGATTGAGTTGTCGACACGGTTCGGTAGACTGGTAGTTCTACAGAGGAGAGCAAAGCCATGACGGCTCTTTCTGGCTGAAAGAGCTCGAACCCACGAGTGAGACATTGCAAGAACGAATGTTATGATTAATGGTATCTACATCTATAATGAAGTGATTCAAAGCACACCCAGTGAACGAAAATAGCAAGGAAGAGGTGTTGGGTGGTGGGACTAGCAGTTGGCGGCGGCGGTGGTGATAATTTGTTGACTGTTCAGGTTTGTAAGTGTAAGGTGGTGGGTTAAAATACGCCGCCGTGGACCGTTGGAATTGAGGGGTTTAGGGCTTTAGAGCAAACGACGAAGTTAGTGAAGGCTGGAGGGGGGGCCATTCAGTGGCGGAAGGGAGCTCCTTCGCTTTGTCGAAATTACCAATTTACCTTCCTCTTTCTGCTTATTTCATTGACCCAGACTTCGTGAGTTGAAATTTTGACGAGGCAAGGGTGGGTATCTTCGTCAATATTTTAGTTTCATTATGAATGGTTTCTAAGTTCCATATAAATTGATCCAAACACTCTATTGTTGAACTAAAAAATAAAAATTACGATGGTTATTAAATTATTTATCAAAATTTGTATTTCAAATCAGTATTGGTGGTTAGATTAGTGAGATCCACTAACTTTCATCAAATATTCAATGTATAATATTTTAACACATTATTTGGGATACAATATTTAGTAAATAAATTTGAAAAGCATAATGTTATCCTAAAATTACTTACCTCAAACTTAATCTAATGCATTTTGTCACTTGTAGTCAAGTTTATGGAGTATTTAGGAAAATTCATGTGTTTATCCAAATTCGTTTCGATACTAAGTTGGTTTAATTAATCTATTTATTTATTATTATCTAAAGTTATTAAGGTTATATTCAATTTAACTAATGTTATATTGATTTTATATATCGTCTAAAAAAGGGCAAATCCTTCACTAGTGCCTTTGCATGGGTGTGTTAATTAGTAGACAAGGTTGACTATCAACACCATCATTTAACAACTTAATATAATCAAAAAAAATAGATTAATTTTTCATTTTAACCAAAATAACATAAATTATCTATATAATAAAGTAGTTAGATTGATTTATCTTGAACTTTTCGCGGTTCAGATTGATTTATCCGACGATTATAATTAATCTACATTCCTACATGACTCTACTATATTCCTTTTATCTCTCCTTATCCCCATTTAAACGATTAGAACGATATCTACATTCTTACAAGACTGTTACATTTTTTTTATATATATAATTCAATCTATATAATACGTAGTTCGAATGTGTATTTTAAAATCTATATAATAAAGTATCTAGATTTATTTGTCTTTAGATTTTTGCGGCTCGAATTGTTTGAGGATTATTGATCCAATAATTCTAATTAGACTTTCATTCCTTTTAAAACTCTAAAACGCATATCTCTAATATAGCTCTCTTTCTCTTTCCATCTCATACAACCAACTTTCATACATATATAACTTTCTCTCTCTCCCTCTCAGATATTTTAAACATACACTCTCTCATCTCTTATACTTTCTGTCTAGATATATATGAGATAAAATGAAAGTCAAATTAGAATTGTTAAAACAAACAATGTTATCTTATACTTTCTCTTTTAGTATTATTTGTTTGTCTTGACGATCCTAATTAGACTTATTTACTCAAAATATTTGTATGATTTTATAGATAAAAAAATATTTAAATATTAAAAAAATTCTCAGGTTATAGATATTTAAAAACTAAACTAATCATCAATAAAAAAAAATTAAAAGTCAAGTTAATCACCAATAAAAAATAACAAGTGTTACCAAATGCACCAAAAAAATAAAAAAAAATTCAAAATTAAGCTAATCACTAATAAAAAAATAAAAAATGATATTAATTGCATCAAAAAAAATTAAAAATTGTGCACAAAAAAAAACAATATTCTAAAGCAACTATCAATGTTCATATTTTTTAAATATTTGAATAGTTTAAAATAGATACCGAAACAATAAAAGAGTCAGTTAAATCAATTTTTTTTATGTAGGGAAATTTTGATTTTGTTGTTTTGGTTTAATTGTAGCGTGAGAATATTTTTGTAGTATCTTGGAAGTCATAGTAGTAGAAAATTTAAATCAATTGTTCTTGCAATTACAAGCAGATTCGTTAGACAATATTCTTCAGTTGGGCATTTTTTTTTTTTTGAAAATTTAATTTGTAATTCAATGTGAACTAGAAAACATATTCATTAGATTTAGCAAGAGGTTGAAAAAATGAACACTCATTGGAAAGAAGAACCGCCATGAAGAAATATATGACTGGATAATTTTGTAATGGTATTCATTTAAGTTTATAGGGATTTTCAAATTGTGTTAATGTAATACAATTTTTTCATTTCAATTCTTGGATTTCTTTTATTTAAGACATTCCTAGATGCCCCATTTGCTTGACAAATTTTTGTGTTAAGAGTGCCTTCAGGTACGGGTAATGACTAGTTCTTTTATACTTTAAAATAATTGGACAATTTTAACCTTATATGTTTATTTAAAAATTAATTTTTTTATCCATTTATCAAACTTGTAATTATCTTCCTCACTTTTATAATTTATTCGTCAAATCAAGTAACAAATTTAAAACTTCAATTGGTGATGTTGTGGTTGGTTGACGTAATAGAACATCTGAATGAATTGATCATTACTAAGTAACATTTATTCTGATATTTGACTTTTAGTGATGAAAATTTATTTCTATTATCATATAATGTCTAATTCCACAATCCTAAGATTTGTCATTTCTCAATATGGATTAGTATCACTCATTACCATCTACCATTAGTTGTTATCACTATCACTCCCAACAACAGTCACCATCACCACCTCCATTTCCTTTTGAGTACAAGATTCAATTTCAAGGTTAGGGTCTAAGTGAAGAAGCTTATAGTAAAAGTGATATTGGAGATAATGAAATAAAAGAAAAACGAGACATAGAGAATTAACGTGGTTCGACAAATTACCTACATTCACAAACTTAACGTCCAATGGGTTACATCGATGTATTATTGAAGGAGATTATAAATTTAAGGCTCAACCCTATTCGAGGTATGGGGTCGGGTTTTGAGTCCAAGTCTAAGTCCCACGTCCAAGGTCAAGGTCAAGTTCAAGTTCGGACCCTACTTCAGGGTTCAAGGTTGGGTTTGGGTTAGGTCTAGTCCAGAACTGAGCCCGAGGTTGGGCTCGGAGTTAGGTCTATGATGACTGTTATAAACATTAAGGGTCTAAAGTGGGCCGGTACATATGTTTAGACATATTGGGCTGGAAGTCCTCTAACCAAAATAATAGGTGTGGAAGTCTACTTGAACGTTTGAAGACCATCGTGTCCGTACTTTTCCCCAATATGACTGTGATACGAATTTGGAAAACCAACCGGCAGAAGTTTCTCTTCCACTGAAAGTGGAAAACTGAAATCCCTTTTATTCAGGAATTTTTGAAATACAAACGAAAAAAGAGGATATTGAGCGAGTAGAAGACGGAATGTGATACGGAGACAGCAAAATTTTTCATGAGAATAAGTTTGTTGATTACTATGTACAATGACTTACATGTTTGACCTGTATTGAGGTTCAAACTTTTCTTCTTTCCTTAGTCTCTTCGTCTCTTTCCTCACTCTGGTTTAAGCAATTCATATAGTATTGTGGAGAAGAACGACGATTGAGATTATTGAAGTTTTTGAAAAAAAAATTGATAATTCAAGAAAAATGTTATTTTTCCCAACGTTTTTATTTTATTTACTTTTTTTTTTCTCTCAACTACCTTTCTACTTCTAGTACTTGGTACTACATGCACACAAAGTATTTGATCATTTGACAAAAAAAAAAAAACAAAGAGGTCATATATAATTGCATTCTCACAACAGACCTTATCTGTCATCACCACCCTCGAAACCTTCTAGCTCTCCATACGCTATTTGATCGAGACAACAACCAACATCACCACCTCCTCACAACTCTAATTCCACTCACAAACACAATTTGTCCTATTTTGGTTGTTTATAATACTATGTAATCTTATTTACAATATATTTAGTTATTCATGATGTTTGTGTCATACAATTTTTTTGTGTATTGTGCCACTGTGATATTTCATTGTGCATTGTGTTATGTTAATGTATGCAGTGTGACATTGACTTGTAGTAGTGTAACATTGATTTGTAACAGTGTGACACTATCTGATATCAGTGTGACATTGACTAATATCAGCGTGACATAAGCTGGTATCAGTGTGACATGTACCACTATGTCAATGCCACATGTACTACTGCTACTTATAAACACATCGAAAAACATACGTATAAATTTAAATTTAAAATATCTATGGAAAAAAAAACCCATAACAACCAGTGGAATTATATAAGGAGAAAACATAAATTCCTCGTTATGAAGTATAAAAAAATTATACAAATGTGGACAAGACCTGAATGTTTAAATAAAAATAAATATTTAAATTACTTTAGTTGAATGAAAGAGAAAGATATAAAAAAAAATTGTATAACTGTCAGATATAAGAAACTGAATCCCTAATATAAAACTTCTATAAATTTAGGAATAAGAATGTTTGAATAATTGATTTGCTATTCCATAATTTAGAAAATTGAATCTCTAATATAACTGTCAAATTTATTTCTTATTAATAAAGGACAAAAAAGGGTAATTCTGTAAAAGAAAGGACAAAAAAACAGGTGTCAAGTTGTTAGGGAATAAAGAGGACATGTGACATACTTATATGAATAATGCAAGAATAAGTGACATGTGTCTTGTGGGCGAGGAAAAAGAAAACATAAAACCTAGGGAATGGACACTTGTCCTTGTGATGCCACTGTGGTGATGTAAAATTCNCTGTCATCACCACCCTCGAAACCTTCTAGCTCTCCATACGCTATTTGATCGAGACAACAACCAACATCACCACCTCCTCACAACTCTAATTCCACTCACAAACACAATTTGTCCTATTTTGGTTGTTTATAATACTATGTAATCTTATTTACAATATATTTAGTTATTCATGATGTTTGTGTCATACAATTTTTTTGTGTATT